TTTTTCTTGTCTCCCCCCCCCCCCCCCCACTTCGACACGTCTGTGTCTGTTATACATTACTCTCTCGGCATGGGGAAGAGGAGTGGGGTGAAAAAAAAAAAGCACAAGGATATCATCAGTTCTCACCCAGGCCAGTCGTGTGAAGTGAGGCATGTCTCTCACACTTCCACTCCCCTCGACCGTTCCCGGTGCACAGACACTGGAGCAGGTTACCTCTGGCGTCCGTCTTAGTCCACGTGTCGCCAATACGGTAGGAGCTCAAAGTGTCCTGGTCATTACAACGATCTAGAAAAGATGTGAATAAATCATCATAATCCTGAAGGACAAATACATATTCTTAAAAGGAATCGATATAAGACTCTTTTCATTGAGTATAAACACACAGCAGAGACGGATGTTTGGGATTTGAGAGGCAGCAGTACGCTTCGATACATGTGACGAGCCCAAAAATAACCGGCAGTAATTACATTTTTTTTTGTGGAACTTGTGTGACGCACATTCAGGCATTTGCTAATTTGTTCCTGATGAAAGTGCGGAATGTAACATGACACTACAAAAGAACATGTGTGCACGCTTACCCAACAAAACGACAAAAGACAAAAGACGAGTTTGATAGCGCAGAGTCCAAATAGGAACATTCATGGATCACCAGTGAGCGAGTTCTCGGAATGTCACAAGCAAATTAACTTCAAAATACTGAAAAATGAAGTGAGATCATTCTTTGTATGAGGGTCAGGGGTCTCTTACTTCTGGACGTGCATGTTATGCGGCCACTTCCTTCTCCCATACAGGTGCAGTCCACAACCATCCATCCCTGGTAGGGCTTCTCCCACGTTTCCCCGACAACATAGGATGTCCCCGCAGCGTTGTCATAGCAACGCTCAGCTGCAGGACACACACACACACACCAACTTAGTGTGCGTCATTCACTATCAATATTAATTGTGTTTATTTGATAACACTAATGTAGGGATGCTCTAACCGCTGCAGCGTGATCAGACAACAACGCATCATACAGTCAGTCACAGCCAGTGTGTGCGTGTGTGTAAGTGTTGACTCACCGACAGGCTTGCAGGTCCATTCTCCTTTGCCGTTACCCAGACAGACGCATTCCAGCATGTAGCCTCCTGTCTCGTGAGGTCTCCTCCAGGTGTCTCCGATCTTATACGAGGCTCCGTCCTCATGACAGCGATCTAGTTGGACGGGGGAGTGGGGGGGGGGGTGAGATGCATGCGTGTGTGTCACTTCCACAAAAATGAAAGACTAGCTCTTTCTGTCATCATTTCACCACACAGTTAAACGCAAGCATCTGCACAACAGCACACTTGTGAGACAACCGCGGGGATAAAATGGAGATTAGAAGCATACTGGCATCAGTCTAGCACACCAGGAGATACTTAAGCGGGGTACACGCACATTGACAACTGAGCCAAGTTTGAGCACTTTCCCGAAGGCCCAACTATCGGATGTACCTGAAAGATTTTGTGGTGTGGGGAATGCTACGAGATGTTCTTATCTTGGAGAATTATATCACATTGTCATATTCCGTAATGCGACAAGTGTGAGGAGGGTGTTGGGATATGAACAAATTTCTCCTTGTCACAGTTGTTGCTCAGCACATTATTGGACATTTTGGTGACAAAAAGCTGCCGATGCACCCATTCCTGCTAATTCAGGACGAGCAGTAATGGGGGCATCGTCACTTTGATTTCTATACATTGCTCTGAAATGTCTTTCAGTCTTTTGTTTGCAAATGTTTTGAATGTTGTAGTTTTAATTATGTGAAGCACATTGAGTTACCTTGTGTATGAAATGCACTATATAAATAAAGCTGACTTAGTCGCTCGAGTATACAGTACCACACAATATAAAAGTATTAGTAGAACACATGATGTTGAGTTTTTTTTTTTTTTTTTTTTTAAGTGATGCTGTGTGGGGTACCTAGCAATTTAAAATTTGGTTAAGATGTTAAAAACCGCCGTGTCCGGAATGTGTGGTTCTGTGGTGTGAACGATAATGGCAGCACTTCCTGTGGAAGGGTCCCAACTTACTGGCAATGGTGCAGCTGATTTTCCCCCTGCCAGATCCGATACAAGTACAATCCCAAATCATGCCATCCTTGGGTCTCTCATACGTTTCTCCCACAGTGTAGTATTGCTGGTTGATCTTATCATAGCATCTTTCTTCAGCTGAAAGGGGTGGTGGGGCAGGGGGGGGGGGGACACAAGAGAAGAAGGTGTGTTTGTTTTGTCTCAGGCAGCGAGATAAATAAAGACAGACTCGCTGATAAAATAACACAGCAGGCATACACATGCTGACCCACCTTCAGGCTTGCTTATACACTTAATCCCGGCGACTCCGTTGCAAGTGCACACCAGAGTGCTGCCCAAGTATTGCCGCTCCCACTGGTCGTTAATGCTGTAGAAATGACCGTTCTCTATGCAGCCATCTGGCAGGACACGAGAAGAAAGCAGGTAAAAATAAGGCTGGGTGGCCGCTACAAGCTGGAAGCAATAAGCAGACATGTGAAAAAAGGAAAAAGTCCATCTGTCTACAATGTGAGTGGGGAAAATACGCTCAACTAGTATACAATGACAAACACCGTACCTGAGGCTGTAAAAACAAACTCCTGCGAGTTTAATGACAAAAACCTTTGTGACAACTCAAACCTTCAGTACATTCTGAGATGAAAAACTTTTTTTTACCAGATAAGACTCCTCGTCAGTGAATTTTACCCAAAAATGTGTTGATTTGACTTCATGAGAACCCATGACACACTCATAAATCATTTGTACCTAGGACAACAATATTTATGCAATTAAAGGTCAAACATTTTATTGTTATATAAGACTCTCCATTGTCTGTGAAGTTGACCCGAGCTGTGCTAACTTGACATCAAAAGGACCCCAGACACAGTAATAAATCATTTGCAGCAGGGACAACTACTGTTTTTTCCACTTTTACTCCCCACCGCCCACCAGCGGGTGGCTCTTTGTTCACAATCTCCATCTTTCATTAACACCTCGGGCTCTCTCCAATATTCCACATCATGACTGTTTTTAGAACTTTTTACCTTGGTGAAAAGATAGAACGAACACACCCAAGCATCTACAATAGCAGGATTATGATGATCAAGTAATGTGGTCTGGTCGGTTAAAATGTCACCTGGAGGTAAACGAATCAATTAAGATGGAAGGAAGAAAACCTCAAACTTACCCTGGGACACCGAGGGGACGTGATGCTGGTGTGCCTGTCTTCGTCTCTTGTGGTTCCCCTTGGGCATGCAGTGCACTGCGGTCCCGATGCACAGAGCAACCAGCACCCTGGCGGCTATGCTTCTTCCACACATGCTTTGCAAATGTTGCACTTAAATGTCACCAGAGCAGAAAGTGGGCTCCTGGTGTAATAGAATTCAGCGATCACGGTCTGGCCCTCTCCGGTGCGCGGCCCCAGTGTGCAGGTTAGCAAAGAGTGGGAGTGATTTATCTGACTGGGCATGGCTGAGTCGCAACCGGAGGAAGGAGAGGAGGAGGTTCAACTCAGAGACCGACAACCCACGCATGTTGGGTTGGGGGGGTGGGGGACATTTCCATTGTGGGTGACACAAAATTATTTTTATTAACTCTATTTTACTCTCAGACGGAGGAGAAAACCGTGTTACTCTTTTTCATAGTAGAACCGAGAACTAATTAAAGTTTCAATAAAACAAATGGTTCTTTACAAACCTGAAAAGGTTTTTTAAAATCAAATCTTCTCACACTGACAATTTTCAAGTTGCGGAATCAACACAAATCCATTAATTACGAAAACTTCCCCCCCGAAAAGCAATTTTGCTCACTAGTGAATTTTTGGCCAATGGATTTATTTCTGGTCACGTGATGTCATATTTGTTGCTAGGTAGGAATTAGAGAACGACTGAAGCCCAAAGCCCATGTTTTCTTTTATTAAAGGGGAGGCGGTGTATGTTAAGAGAGTTTTAATGGCAAATAAATGGGATTATGTATAAAAGATGAGCAGAATTATTTTTTTAAATTACGTATTCCTGTAATACATTAAATCACATCCATCCATCCATCCACTTTCCGAACCGCTTACGATTCTTTGGCGAACATATACGACATTGAAGGAATGTTGACGAACTTTGACATGCACGCAACATTTGCTGCCCTTGAAAACACTCGCGGTTGCTCGCCGCTCAGTGTTATAGGGACTTTATGAGCAGTCCTTTGTGGGGGGGGTTTTCCGCAAGTAGAGTTTCTCACATTTAAAAAAATCTGTTTCAATTTTAAACACTGGTATACGTGTCCCCCATTTAATGGGGCATCTGATATGCTGCTTGTATTTTTACTTACAGTATATTTCTGCAGACAGCACATTGCTACGTGATATACGTAGCTCAGTGAAGGACACTGATGCTGTGCAGTTTGTTGGCTTTTAGGATTTACAATCAGTTTACGTCATCCGCAGGAATTGGGTCATATGGCATCAACATCTGGAAGGACCCAAAGTTTGAATATCTGGAAAGCGTTTGCTTATCCTGATCCAAGTTATGGGGAAACTGGAGACCGTACCAGCTGGCTAAAACTGGACAAGTTGCAATGTGAATTAAGCGAGTTTCTTGCGCCGTTCCAGGTCTTCAGAAACAGTATTGAGTTTGGGCCACTTTGCAGGAGCCTAATGATCCTGATGATTTTAATCAAGTGTGTTGGAGGAGGGAGACTTCTAAAAAAAGGCTGGATAGAGGGGCTCTTGAGGACCCGACTTGGACACCCCTGCAATAAACTAATGATATTGTGAAAAACATAGCGGATGTGTGACATCCCTGAAGTAAGGGTCACATTTGTATTAAGAAAATGTTGTGTAATTACTACAAATATTATATTTAGAAAATAGAAATGTTTTCTTGATTATAATTTATACCGCTGTTCACATTTAAGATGATGTGAAATTTGTCTGTGAATATTTTCTTTGTGATTTAAAAAAAAAATAATCGGACGTTGTTGATTGAGTTGTTCCGGGTGGGGACATGTAAGAAGGCGGAACTTGGCTGGTGTCCATCAAACGCAAATCTGGCCAACGCGCGACGTCATCATTTGCGCTTACTTTTCTACCTGCTTGTCCAGGTCAGTAAACAGCAGATAAAGTATCATTACCTCTGTCCTGAAGTTGTATGTGAATGTGTGATTACTTAAGAGGTGTTGGAGTAGTAGTGCTAAATTTAACATGTTTTAAAAACTGCATGGAAATTCGTTTTTTTAATCCGCAAATTTGCTTCGGCGCCATCTTGTGTTCCTTTTAGTACTGTATGCCATTTGACAAGCTTTTTCATTTACAATAGTCTAGGAAATTAATATTGTGAAATGTTTAGGAGAAGACTTCATAAAGTTAAAGAAATACAAATGTACTGAGATTGTTGTTTTGTTTGTATGTGCCGTGTTTAATAAAAACAACCAGGGATGCATCTGGGAGAGAGCAGTTCACGTTGTCGTCATTAACTTCTCCGTTGGATCTGCTTGAACAGGTAAACGTTTTTTTTACTCTGGTTCACCTCGCTAGACCCAGAACACATGTCCTCTGTATCTTTGGTTAATGTTCTGGCACAAGGTAATAGTCCATTTAGACTTCTTTGCAACAAGGCCATTGGGGGAAAAAAAAAATCAGTTGTGTGAACTTAGCCAAAGCGACTTTCGGCCTTTTCCCTGCCACACAGTCTGCACAGCGAGTCACTCGCATGATTTGTTGGGCACAGTTTTTACACCAGTTGGCCTTCCTGCCCAAAAAACAGAGATGTCTGCTTTTGTATTTGACCTCTTCCTTTGTTGCCAAATTAGTTCAAAAAAACAGAGTACAAACCAGCCAGCTATGAAAGGAGCCATCTGTCATCCATCACCAGAGACAAAATAACACATTTAGTCAGATTGAGCCAATGCGGTGCATATAATTTTGATTTAGACTGATCCTCGGCTGACAATCATGCAACAGACAGAATGCATCCAGTTATTAGAACCCAAGTACCAGGCAGAGTGAGGGCCCTCCTGGAATTTCTGAAATAATACTTTTTTGGGGCAAATGAATCACCATTTTCGGTGCCTCAACAGTCCAGAAAAACTCCTCGGTTTTAGTACATACGTGTGTCGTGGTGAAAATGTATTTTCAGGCTCCCTGACACAACTCCTCCAAAGTCACAATGTGATCAGAGTATGGCGTCACAGTTTGACGCTTTGCCACGAAAAAGCGGGCATGAAGACCTGTTCATCGCCACTTGCTTTCAGATGCGTTGTTCGAGGCGAGTATGTGGTCTGCTGGGCGAGCAACATTTTGCTCTTCGCCAATAGACCCATGATGCATTACGGAACGTTTTACTTTTACATGCCACACTGTTATACTCTATTAGAATGATCAACTGCCTGTCGTTTTAGCGCTGTTTAAATCATCAGGTTACTCATGCATAGAAGGGCTAGTTTGCCAGAGAGTTGAAAAGTTTGAAAAGGCTTTCGACTGTCACTCTGGTCCTGCTTTGAATTTGGAACTGCAGGAAGAGTAATTAGGAATAATTTTAGACTGTCACTGGTACATCATTCTTGGTCAATCCCGAACCATTTTTAGCAATGTCATCATTTGGTCATGCTTGGCCCAAACACTCAGGCGTGTTTACAACCATTAAACCGCTGCACTTTTGCATTTCTGAGTGACGATCAAGGTTAAATCCCGGTTTGAAGCCATTCTCTGGGAATTGTATTGCTAGATATGGAGATGAAAACACATTTTTGTGTTTAAAACGGGCCTTTCTTTCAATCACACAGGATGGTGTTGTTTGGAACAATAGTGGAAATCACAGCCAGGGAAAGATGCTTAAGAAATCTTCCGAGTATGTCAACGTTGCCACAAGTGCTGCCTTATTTTGATGTCCTTTGTCCTCCGAAAACCACTGGGCTTGGATTTCAGTGTGTCAACATGGAGTCTACTGAAAAGGCAACGTGTGTGTTTCCACTTTTTGGATGTTTGGTAACAGAAAAAGTGAGGAAAATTTACATTTCTATACGCTTATATATGTTTCTCTGTATTTTGCTGCATTTTTACAATAACAATACAATTTTGTAATAATGTTACGTAACGTAATCTTACCATCAATGGTCCCGGTAACTCGCGTCAACACCATAATAGACATGTAAGAGGTTGAGTAAAACTTACTCAATAGCGAGTGAAAATTGAAAAAGTTGAGAAATTTGGGCAGAGCCGATTACATTCGTTGCTGACGTGGAGAAATCATGAAATGTGTGTATTACACAACGTGCACAAAAAGTCATCCTGAGAAAGCGGAGACGCGGGACAAAAGAGGTCACAGCTGCGAAAATCTGTCGACATTTGCAAAACACGTATTCGTTCAAAATGGCTCTCACTCTCTCTCAGCCGCGCTTCAAATTTTCTAACTCTGCTCTTCCCATTGCAATGCGGCATCATGAAGTACTTGGTCCCTGCACTAGTTCATTGCCCGAACTTTACATATTATTGTGGCTTCCCAGGAGGCTCCTTGCTGGCTTGCACTTTTGCTTACATAATACAACTTTCCAATCTCGTGTTAAAGATAGAAAACAGGGGGAGGGGGGGGAAATGCAAGTTATGTTGCCAAGTTACGCATATGAGAGAGCCAATGAACCCCATGTTCATGATTTAAAGATGACACACTGTATTATTGAAAATGTACTTTTTGAATATCTTGAATGAGCAATTTGCTGAAAAATTTCCCAGATACACCTGCGCCACTTTGCTGTGCAGTTTATAGGCTTGGAGGTACCGTTCGGGGAACAGGATCAGCGGGAATGATGTGGGAGGCCAGCAAAGCTGTCGGAGGAGAAACCAGCTGGGTATTTATATGCAACAGAGTCCATCAAAATCGTCTTGAAAGTCAGCGTGATTTTGGTCTTGGAATATTGACGACAGCATGTCACGGGTATGTTATTAAGAAATCTGGGAACTGTTAGACTTGGGGAAACAAAACCGCCCACGTCTCGTTTAATATTTCTGATGATCAGATCCTGCATGTTTACCAGCTGTCGGCAACAACTAGTAATTTCGCAGAAGACGAAAACTTGCGGCACTTGAGAAACTCGAGTCAACTATTCTTAGTTTTCAGGCAAGAGTCGATGGGGAAAGACCTGAGCACGTTCGTCATTGCTGGTTGGAGGCCAGTCATGCAGATCTTTTGGAGGAAGTGAAAGACGGGGGGGGGAGAAGGAGGAGTCGTAGTGCTCGTAGGGGGGAGGAAAGGTCCTGCGTTTGCGTTGCTTGACCACATGATCAAAAACGTCCCATTCAAATCGTGCAACAGGTACACAGTCTAGCTGTCGCCTCGGTAACCACCGTTTAGTCATATTCTGTCAAGGACCGGGCAAATCTCCTTCCCTGTATTTTTGGATCATTTGAGAAGCAAAATAAATGCATACTGTAACCATAGCATCGCAGCCACTAATAAAATAAAACTGCTCGATAGTGCAGGTGGTGGTATGCATGGTGAGCACGAGTCAAGATGAGGTGTGTGTGGTCTTCACATTTGAAATGACTGTTGACTGCCAACGTGTCCAGAAGACAAAAGAAAGCACGACATGTACTTTCACTCACTGGATCAGTGGACGGCTTTGGGGAATTGTGTGGCCCGAAATAGGCGGCGTGGAAGGAGACAAGTGATGGTTGTAGGAACACAACCTCAGGAAACTTTTGGGGATTGGCCAGGTTCTTTCACACTCGTCGTGCGTGGCCATCGCACATGTCATATCTCATTTCAGAAAGTGCTGAATAGCACCGAACGGTTTCTGAACAGCGTTTCCCCTCCTTCCTTCTCTAAGCTTTCCCCTTCCCTCCCCTCCGGGGGATGAGATCACAAGCTCGAGGGAAGACAAAGTGAGTCGGGTCACACATTGTACTCTTCAAACTTTTCGGGCCTGCATTCATTCATTTTTATCCTTACAAGTGTCTTCGAACCAACACTGGTGTTTATAGCCACTCAAACGTGTTTTATAATATCCTGTAAATCATAACGCAACACGGGAATAATAGTAGTTATTATTCTTTATCGCTTCTGTCGCAATGAGAGTGTTTTTCTGATGGTCCCGTGAGTAACACGATGATAAATCGGGCCACATTTATGGCATAGTTGTTAGTACGTCTGTCTCGGAGTTGAGAAGTTCTGGGTTCAAATCTTGGCTCAAACATCGCTTGGCTTTTCTGCCGGAACCGCGGCTTGCTCCCCTCTTCCAAAAACATTCATGTTTGGTCAATTGACGACTTGAACATTTGTCCCCAAGTCTGAATATGAGCTTCGATCATTGTTTTGTCTCTATTGTCGCGTTCGGGCATAATTTTTGGCCATTTGCTTTGACAACTTGTGCCTGCCAAAGCATGAGGGAACACACAGCCTTTTAACTAATTGGATAAGCAGTCAGTACTTGCAATTTTTACAGATAGGTAGAAAAGTTGTCATGGTTACGCCTCAGTTTTTCTTCTTGGTAAAAGTGTCCGTGTCAGCATTTAAATCTCCTCCCTGAAACTCCGAATGAGTCGTCCGTATTATTCTTTGAACGAAACCTTTTTGCATCAAAGTGACTTATACCGTTTATCAATGACAAAAATGTCAAAACCCAAACCATATGAGGCCCGTTGCAGACAAAACAAACGAAACCATATGCGCATATCTGTAGCGTCAAAGAATAATACACAGCCGTAAGCCGCATTTAATTGAAAAGGCTCCGTAGACTAAGCATCGGCGTTCTCTAAGCAAACATTTCGATTGTTGAGAGCACACTGTGGTCCCCCCCCCCACCCTCTCAAAAAAGTGACAAAGTGGCTTCAGTTTGGATACTTAAGAATGGATCCGCACTTTACTCCATTTTGCTCACTTACTCCCAATTGCAATTCCTCACCCTGACACGACCATAAACAGACAGATGATGTCACCGCCACCACATTTTGCTCTGGCGACAGGCCGTGAATGCACTCGGATGTTCAGCTCCACAGGGAGCCGAAGGGGGGGCTGAAGGTTTGTATTGTTGTGTGGCCAACAGAACCATATGTCCATCGACTTATTTTCCAGTCGTCAAAAAAATCGGCACACGTGTATAGCACAATAAATGGAGTGTTTTCGTTGGGCAACATCTGTCCTGCAGTTACATTGTGAAATCGGTGAGTTTGTGACGCGGGTTTTCTTGGCAACATGTGTTGTTGTTCTTTGCTGTGGGAAAAGAGGCAGTCATTGGATTTGTCATAGTTTTCATTTAAAACCGGGGGTGTTAAAGTCAAAGCTCCTCGGCCAGATCTGGCCCGCCAGAATTCCGCTCAAGCAAATCATGTGCATCGACTTCACGTTTCTTGTTATCTGTAATATTGTTAATTTTTAATGGTTCATTTCATAGTTTCATTTGTAATCAGTTTGTGTTTACAGAAAACACCTTTGATCTTCAAGTTCAGCTCAATGAAAAGGGGAGCAGAAACATCTGTGTTATATTTGTAGGTATTTTGGTACAGTGC